GACAGGGCTGCCCTGCAGACAAGCTGCTCCTGAATGTTCGGGCAGCCTTCGTGCAGCGTGTGAGCACAGCGGTCACCTGCTGGCCAAGGGCGTGCTGAGCCTGGAGGAGCCAGAAGAGGTGCAGAATGGACACATGGCGCGCACTGGGAAGGCTGCTACCTCATGGACAGCATGAACCTGAAGGGCCTCAGGGCCAGCCAGGTCTTCATCGACAGCCTCAGGGGGTGTGATTGCACCTTGACAGAGCAGCTTGGCCTGGCTGCTGACTTGGGTGAGAGATACGGGACCATGGTCTGCCCCCTGGCATGTTGGGGCTCCCAGTGCATTTGGTGGGGTGTTGGAGTGGCGCCCAGCCCTGGCAGGTAACCAAGGCCTGAAGACAAGGAGCAGTTGTGTGTCCCCAGTGTCACTGCTCTGAGGCACTGAGTCCCCCTTGCCATACAGTGACAAGACTCTCAGGGGCAGCTGCCCACCATGCAGCTGACCAGGGACCCCCAAGGGGCAGAGCCCAGCTCTGCTCGCCTGCCCATGCCCTGTGGAAGTCCCCTCTTGCTGCAGGTTCTTCCCAGTGTAACTGTGCCTTTCTGCTTGCAGGGCCCCCCTGGGCACAGCCAGCCTCTAACACTGCAGCCTGCCCTGGGCCCCCTGTCAGCATCCAGGGCCAGCAATGCTCTCTGAGCGAGTTCCAGAACATCAGGGACACAGAGAGAGTCCAGGTGCTGTGAGCAGAGATGAGGGCAGGGCTGGATCGTGGCCCGGCTGCCCTGCCAAAGCAGGCAGGGGCTTGCTGAGGGGAGCCAAGGTCCTCACTGACCCAGGAGCAGGGAAGGAGATGTGGGAAGATGCCGCAGGGACAGGAAGATGTGGTTGCTACACCCATGGGACTTCCCTGCTATTAGCTGCCTCCCAAGAAGAGCCTGCTGCACCCACCCACCGCTGAGCTCTTCCTCCCTTCCTCCTCACAGATCTATCCTCTACCCTTCTGCTGCGAGATATGCAAACCCAAGTGGCCCTGCTCATCTGAAACATTGAGTTTGAGCACCTGAGCTGGGAGGACGGGGCTGAAGTAGACGTGGAGGGGATGACAAGGCTGTTGGAGGGGCTGGGCTATGTGGTAGGTGTCCATCGCTTACTTAACTTCCCAGGTAAAGGACTGCACAAAGCAGCTGCTACCAGCCTCAGGAGTGGTGTGGAGGCCCTCCTTGTGTGCACTGCTGGTGCGGGCTCAGGCAATACAGGGTCATCTCTGCCTCCTGTGGCAGTGGCTCCTGGCCAGAGCAAGTGACTGGATCTCCACACTGCTGGTCACAGGTGGCTGATGTCCCTTCCTTGTGCTGGTTTATAGGGGATGGCTATGGTCATGGAGGAATTTGCAGATCGCAAAGAGCAGCACACCTCTGACAGCACCTTCCTAGTCTTCATGTCTTATGGAGTCAGGGCTGGGCTCTGTGGGACCAAAAGCAGAAGCAAGACCTCAGACATCCTTTCCTTCGACACCATCTATGAGAAATTCAACAAGCACTGCCAGGCACTGCTGGGCAAACCCAAAGTGGTCATTATCCAGGCCTGCCATGGAGGCAAGTCCCTGGGACAAGGTGCCTGCAGGGTGAGTGAGCAAGCCAGGCTCTCCCAGGGCACGTGAACCTCAACCACGGGGTGGGGACAGGACACCACATCATCACTGATGGCTGGCCCTGCCTCCCTAGGCAATACAGGGTCTGTGATAGTGAGCAACTCCGAAGAGTCTGACAGGTCCACTCCAAGCTTGGCTGACAGCATCTCTGCAGGGCTGGAAGATGACACAGTCTGTGAAGTCCACCTCAAGAGTGATTTTGCCACTTTACATTCCTCCACACCTGGTAAGCCATTCCTAGAGATGGTTGCCCTGCCCGAGGGCAGGTGAGGGTGACAGGACTCCCCGTGGGTCTCCTCCACACCTTCTGCTTGGTGCTGGTCCCCGAGTGTCCTTCCATCTTGTGACTGCTTGGGTGTCACTCCAGTGCAGCCTCTGGAGGAGGCAGTGTCCCCTGATGCCAGGGTATAAGGCTGAAGATCCCTCTGGCACCAGGGCCAGAGCTTTGTGCCCCTGCCTGGCTGCCTTCCCTTGCCCCTTCCCCACTGGTGCTGCCTGCACTCCTTCTCTAGCCGGTTTATCTCACTGCAGTGGCTGGCTGGGGGAACTTGTCTTCTCCTGCTGGGTCACAGATGGCTGCAGCCTGGCAGCTGGCATGGCTGGGACCATGGAAGAGCAGAGAGGCTTGAAAAAAATGTAATTTCTATCTTCTCTGGGATGCCTTGTCCTTTTCCAGTGCTGTGGGTTGGACAGGTCAGTGATCTTGGAGAAGGTGCCCCAGTCTCCTGCTGTAGCACCCAGCATTCATCACTGTTACAGTGAGGGACATCAGTGAAATCAGACTTGTCATCTTCTGTGTCCCCAGATACTGTCTCCTGGAGACACCCAGTAACAGGCTCCCTTTTCATCCAGCACCTGATAGAGCAGTTTCAAAACCACGCCTGTACCAGCAGCCTACAGGAACTCTTCTGAAAGGTGAGCGAGACTTTGTAGATAAGTGCAGGTGTCAGCAGATGCAGCTGGCCAATGGTCAGAAATTATTCTGGGAGCAGAGCTTGCGCCAGGGCAGGCTCTTCTGGAGCAGGGTCTGTCAAAAAGGCATCTGGTGTGGCCTGGGAAGTCAGCTGGGTCTCTGGAGATATCAGCACCCTGCCACATGGTGGGCATGCAAGAACCTGACATCTTGGCACTGTCTGTGGCCCTTGTGCCAGCAGACACATGCTTGGGGATGGCCCTCGAGATGTCTCCTGGCTCCCTGCACTCTTCCCAGGCTAGGAACAGAGCTGCTCTCATTTCTCCTCGCACTCTCTCTCCTTGCAGGTCCAGTATTCCTTTGACAAATTCCCTCAGCGGTTGCCATCACAAGAACAGACTACAATGCTCAGGAAGTTCTACCTTTTCCCAGGCCGCTGATCCACCCACAGTGAGTCTCTTCTCCTCACACCTCTGCAGCAGCTTTTTGTCTGTGCCCCAAACCCTGCATCCAGCCAGCGAAGAGCAAGGAGAAATTCCCCACCACTCCTGGACTCCAGAGCTTGTGGCTCAGACAGGAGATCCAAAGCATTTGTGTGCTGGTAGCTGGGGCCGGGCAGTGGCCTGACTCCATCCCCATGTCCCAGCTAGCTGTAGGAGAGCCAGGGGCTCCAGGAACTCCTTTCAAGAGCCTGGGTCTCAGGAGCTTCTCTAATGTTCTTCACAGGTGAAAAAAAAAATACTTGAGCAGAAAATGTGTTTGAATTTTAGGGTAACACAGCAGAAAGTTAAAGCTCGAGAGAGATGTGCTTCTTCATGTCAGAGGAAAAGCCAAGAACAGCTCTACAGAAGCACAGGCCTTGGTCTTCTCTTTTCTGTTCCTTTTGCAGCCTCCAGACAACTCCAAATTGAGCCAACTTCCCATGGAGTAGCAGACACCTGGCTCTGCAGCATCAAATGCACAGCTGGTTAGTGTCTGTCAACTGTCCCCAGACAGACCCTGTCCCCAGTTGTGACAGAGACAATCCGTCACCCCCCGAGTCACTTCTGCCCCATCTCTGCCTTTACCCATTGTCTAATAAAGGGATTTTCATAGCAGATGGCACCACTTCTCTGCTGGTAGCCTGCCCGGGGTGGGTGGTGGTTAGGGCTGGCAGGGGCTGCTGTGACATTGCTTCTTGGGAACACTGTGAGAATACAGGAGGTGAGAGATGGAGTAGGAGCTTATGGGGCAGGAGTTGCTCACCTTCAGGGCAGGCAGGGCAGCCACACCCCAGGGAGATTTCCATGCCTCCCTCTTGCAGGCTGGCAGCATCTCCTGGGTTAGGAGGCAACTTGCCCCACTCCCCAATCCTGCCTCTGAGCTGAAGGAAGGATGCGATTCCCCTGGGAGTCATGAATGAGCCTCAAATCTGTGTCTTCCACACACGGCTCCCACAGCTTGACATGTCCTGAGCCCAGCCCAGTTGCCACCTACCACCAGCATCCCCACTGGTAAGTGGGAGCCCCTCCCTGTTCCCACCACCATGCTCCCTGTCAGCCACAGACACATCCAAAGCACTTTCTGCCTTGGCATGTATTTAACTTTATTGCATGTTCTGCAAAGTCACAGCCAGATCCACAACCAGGTGGTCTGACAGCAGGAAAACAAGAGGGCTCTCCTGCTCCCTCTGAGTGTCTGAGGCACTCCCAGCACAGGCAGGACAGGCTGCACAGCAAGGGCAGTGTCCTGGGCCACTGTCACCCTGTGTCCCTGCAAGGCAGCAGGAGAGCTCAGCAGGACAGAGGTCCCTCTCTGCTCCAGCTCCAGGAGACCTGGGGTGGGATCCCACAGGCAGGATCAAACTGCACATCAGGTGGCAAGTCCAGGCCAACCTCCTCCTCACAAAGCCCAGAGCCCTGTGTCACTGCCTGGAACTTCTCAGGTCCCATGTGGTCTTTGCAGAAACCCTGGTTCCCATCGCTATGGTGGTGGCAGGAAATTGAGGACAGCAGTGATGAATTCTTCAAATTTATCCTGATGGACTATGTGGCCTGCACCTTCAATGTACTGGACATCCGCCTTGGGGAAGAGGCGCTGAATCTCTGGGTAGTCTTTGGGGCTGTAGGGCAAGGGAACACACCATGGGAAGCATGGTCAGAAATCTAGCCAGGTGCCTTCCCTCACCCTTCCCAGGCAGAGAGAGATCCCAGGTCTGACCATGTCACTTTCCCTCCTGGGAAAGCCCAGGGCTGCCCCCAGATTGCCCCTCGCTCTCCAGCATGTTGGTGTCACCAGCTGCTGGAGGCACAGAGGTTGCTCCAGGACCTTCCCCATCTCAGGGGCTTCCTCCCACCTTGGAGAGCTGCAGAAGAGCCCAAGGGGTTAAACCACAGACTTCCAACTGCTTCTCTCCGGTCCCACCTGATATAGGGTGAGTTGGATCCCCCCAAGAAGAGCGCAGGGCCAGGATACGGCTTGTGGAAGACAGGGAAGTTCATGATATCTGCCAAGTGGTGGGAAATAGCCTCCAGGTTGACTCGCCAGACATAGCGGCCTTCCACCTCTACCAGGTTGGTGAGGAGGAACTGTCTCAGCTGCGGGAGCTGCCACAGGAAGGGAACATGCCAGGGAAACCTTACACTTCAGTAAGCAGCAACAAGCCCTCAAGATGTCCTAGTGCCCTCCATCCTCCCCTCCACCTGGTTCTGACCATCTCCTATGCTGTCACGTTCCCATCACTCCTGCAGCCCTGGTGTGATGTTCCCCAGCTGCCCACAACAGCAGTGAGTGAGCAGGGGTGGAAAGAGTCCTGCCAGGACCATAGCTCTGAAGACCTGTGCTCCAGTCTCAGGGACAGGTTGGGTGTGCAAAGCCCATCCAAGGAGTGGGACTTCCTACCTGGACCACTGGACGCAGCTGATCATCAGCCAGCTGGCGGGCTGCAGAGCGTGACAGCCCATCTGGGAGCTTCACAGACTTCATGGCAGAGATGTAGGCAGAGAATTCGGAGACAGGTGTGGTTACGACAGGACTAATGTCTACGGAGATGAGGCGCTCCACAAGGTCTGGCTGGGGACACAAGCGGGGCAGATGGATGCCAGCCAAGACCTCCCCAGCAGGATTGGGCACAGGGCTCTGCTGGAGCCTTCAAGCTCCCTCCTGTCTCAGCAAAGCCTCCATGTGCCCTTCCCTGCATTTGTTTCCCTGTGCCTTGGCATGGGAGATCTCCAATCTTGGAATCAATGTGGAGGGACAGGGCAGAGTGTGGAGGGACAGAGACTCCTGCTTCCACAGCCTGGTTTAGAAGCTGAGCAGGAGAGAGACAGCACCCCAGACCTTGACAGGCAAAAGCCACCTCCTGCAGGTCTGCTGGCAAGGCCAGCGCTGGGGACCAGCCCCCACAGGTGTCACCTCCCTCCCGCAGCCCCCCGGGCCAGCTCTCCCCAGCCCCTGCGCCCCGCGCTGCCCACCCGCTGCAGGGCCAGCACCATGGCCGTCTTGCCGCCCATGCTGTGTCCCAGGAGGATGCACTTGCTGATGCCCAGGCGGGTCAGGAGGTGCTGCACATCCAGGCTCATGGCCTCGTAGCTCATCAGCGGGCTGTGCGGGCTGCT